TAATACATGTTTTAGCCTAGGGTACAATTTTAACTTTGAAACTGCTTTTATTTAATATTTTTAGGAAGATTCAACATCACATAAAATGCGTTGTGAACCACGTCACATAAATGCACCCGCAGTCCGCAACACATTTTATCTAACATTGTTGAGATTTGGATTTGGGTCACATAAATGTGCACTCGAGTTTAGGAAGGTAAATTATTCAAATAGCACGCCTAAAGCAACTATGCACTTTAAAATGTGCGAGGGCCATGAAGAATTCAACTAAATGGCACGCCTCAATTTCTAAGGATTAAAATATCAATTAAGCGAGATGCCATGCATTTCAAGATTTTGTTTGGCATGGCGCACCTCATGATTTAATTGGTGAAATCTAATTGACTAAGGGCAAAAATTACCACTACTTTTGGACTAAAAATATGGACCAACTTTAACTAACAGACCAATGTGAGAAAGGACGAGCAAATGGCATGATGATTAAGAAATAACGCAAAGGAGCCTTGGGCTAGAATAATTGGCCCTACGAGAAGGAAGTAACCTAAGTCTCATTCGAAGGAGGTTGTCAAGCTTGGACCCAGGAATGAGCCCAAATTCAGAACCTCAATATTTCTGAGTGAAAGACTCAGTATCGAGTTCCCCACAATGCACAAGGCCAATGCATTCGAATTCGAATTTACCAATCATATTGCTTTAAGAAAATCAAAACAATTAATGATTGTCCTTTAAACAAACACCAGAATACATCTATCATCACTTTACTTTTATGCAAGAGACACAATCTAAGCATCAACTCATTCTTGTTATCCAGCATCTAATACCATCACAACTTTAACCAACAACGTGCATAACCTTAAGGTGACAGAAAACGAAAGACATCTACTACTCTATACTACTAACAGGAGGTCATATTTCAGTCTTTACTGGGCAAAGCTAAAAATCAGAAATCTACACCAAACGAACCACTGATTTTAGCTGAACTAGCACAGATTCAACACCTACAACTTGACTGGAAATATTTCGATTCTAGCTCGTGTAAACCAAAGAAGATAAACTTATAATTCATCCACTAGTACAAACCAGATTCAAGAGGCAAGGATAGAGATGAGCAAACAAGGCAAAGAAGTCCAATATTGACTACATAGTTTGATGAAAAAACATAAAAGAACAACACTTAAAAACTAACATATTCCATATTTCAATTATATTCTATTCATTGATAGATATACTAATCAAAATCTTTCTAGAAAAAAACTAAGTGTTACATGTTATGCATATGATTGAAAGCAGGAGAAATGAAGCTCAATAACAAATAGCCTCAAATTTCATCAACTTTTCCAGATCCACACTTCAAATTACACTCAAGTGACATCCATAGTGCTGAAAAATACCTGGAAATGAAAGGGAAAACAAGAGAAGTGCAGAAATTAGTAGGCAATAAACAGCAGGACAACAATGAAACAGTGTTTGAAATCGGCCAAAACCAAGGAATTTGAATTGAACCAGCAAACTAGATATTACTACACATAAAACCAGCTCAAACCCCACTTTCGAAACCCCAAAATCAAACCATCTTTAACCCAAGTACAGAATTAGAGTTTTCAAAAGATTTAAACTAATGAAGAGGGTCAGAATTTCAAATCACTCAGAATTTTGAACAATTTCCCATAAAGGAATGCAGAGAAATCAGCGTGTTTCCCAAAGTTTTCAGTTGTTTCAGTTTTGCAGAATTTTCCTTCTCTAATCCTTTCAGGTCTGCCTTGAATATCAAGGTAGAGTGCCTTTATAGGCCAGGCATTTTGGGCAGCCCTAATGGTTCAATTTTGCACCTAAAATCTTTTTCAATTCTCATTCTAGCTCAGATACCCCTATCTTAATTATTAGAATTTCAAAATAGCCCCCAACCCTGCTTCCTAGAAGCTTCCCAAGCAGGTACAAAAGATTCCTTACCCCAATTTCCTAAATTACCCTTAACAACCCTGTTATTTACCCCTAAAACCAACCCGGGTCAAGTTGACCCAGGACCCAAACCCTGGCCTGCCAATTGGGCTAACCCTTCTTCTTTGGGCCTCTAAACTTTCAAAACCCAATCAAATTAAAGATAAGCAAACAAAGGAAAAATTTGTGTGATTTCAAACTCAGAACTAAACTAACAAATGATGATTTTTTCCTTAAGCTAAAATACCAAATTGAAAGTAACACTAATTTACCAATTTATTAACAATCTAATCCTAAACTATTTATCAGGAAAAAAAATTAACTTAAAATCAAGAAGAAAACAAAGGACATTGGCTAAGATTGAAAAGAAGAACTGGAGAAATGGGAACAAATACGCAAACACACACGGAACAAACTATCCCTAAAGGGGAAACTAAACTCGACATTGATTTCACTCAAAGCATGCTAGAGCAAGAAGAAAAAGCAAAGGCGGGGCAGAAAGACAAACAAAAAGCGAAGAAAAAAAGAACAAACTTACCGATTTAAACTTGAAAACACCGGGCAATTCTGATTTAGTCTCGAAATGGTATAAATCGTCTGTTCTTTGTCAAGAACACACGAAGAACATCATTCTGAGACGAACCAGGTTTGGAACACTTGGGGGAACTAGAGGGATGACCTTGCATGGATGACCCTGACTTTGACCTCTAGAACTCGAACCCTAGATTTAAGATTCAGAAGGTTTTGGAGCTATTTGAAAGAAACTGAATGGGGATTTGAGATGAGGGGAGTGAGGTGGTTATAGGGTGTAATTTTGGGAGGGATTGGAGAAGGCGCCAATACCCTAAGGCGGTGGGGGAATGGTGGCGGCGGATTAGGGTTCTAGTCTTTGAAGAGAGGGGGGTGTGAGAGAGACGATTGGGAGGGGGGGTTAGAGGTTCGGACATATAAATACTATCGACCCCCCCCCCCCCACTTCGCGACCGTTGGATCAAGGAAAGTTAACGGTTGAGATCTGCTCAACACAAAACGGGGTCGTTTGGATTGTAAGGGGGTGGACCGGGTAATTGGGAGCGGGTCTGGGCCAATTTGGATGGACATGGGGGAGAATGACTTGGGCCTGGGTAATCTACTTAAATTCGACCCAAATCTGTCTTTACACTCTTTGTTTCTCTTTTTTCATTTTTTTCTAATTTCTTTTAATTTAAAACTAAGAAAAGTAAACCTAAATTAATTCCTAATCACATTATGCTATCACATTAAATTAATTAACTCTAATTAACAATTAACACAATTAATTAAAAACCAAATAAAAGGAAAACTACCAAAGTTCAACAATTAAAATTAAAAATGCAAAAATAAACTATTTTTACGATTTTCCCTTTTTTATAAAACAACTAATTTGTTGATTAATCCTAAAATGTAGAATTAAATCTTTAATGCAAATCCAACATATTTATTTTTTTGGTATTTTTCATTAATTAAATAAAGTAAACATGCACAAATAAATGCAAACAATTGACAGAAAATGCCACAAAATTCCACAAAATTGCAAACAATAAAAAAAATTATTTTGTTTGAACTTATGAGAGTAATACATATAGGGAAAAAATCACGTGCTCACAAGAGCAAAGACACAGAACACAAACACAAAACTGAAAAACGGAATAAGAGCTGTTAGGAGAAGGCACTGGCAGAAACGAATTTGAGAGTTTGGCTATCGTTGATATCCTCTTCAGTAAGAACTCAACATCGGCTATAAATTGCATTCCTTCCTCTCAGAATTTCCATTCGACTTTGAGTTCTCCTCCTTTGTTGTGCATTGTTTTAAACTACAAACAAAGCAACCGTAAGTGTGATTTGCTGCCGAACTTTGTGTTCGCTGAAACACTGGGGTTTGAAGTACCGCTACACCAGTTTGTATTTCGTTCTATCCTGGGAGGAAATAATCCATAACCTTGGGTACTAGGAGGGGATTAAATTCCTTAAGGAAACACTGTGAATTTAATGGGCTCGAATTAATTACTGTTTCATTTATATTTACGTTTATACGCTAACGTTCTTTTCTCCAAAATTATTATTTACAAATACAGCAAGTAAGAAGATACCAGAAACCAACATCATAATCTTGTTTGGTTATCTGGATAAATTATTTATACATATTAAGTAGATTTATTTATATAAATAAAAGATTTGAGCTAAATCTATTAAATTCTGCCAAATTCGTAACTTCAACTGCATGTCCACCCTTGTTAGTGATGACTTATTAGTCATCAACAACCACCACCCAAAGAATATATTTATTTTACAATAAAATTTAACAATCTTTTTAATAATTGTTTCAGTTGGTGAATCATGGGGTGAGTCCATCATTGGTGGAGGAAGTGAAGTCAGAAATCCGAGCATTTTTCAATCTACCATTGGAAGAGAAGAAGAAGTTTGAGCAAGTAGAAAGGGATGTTGAAGGATATGGACAAAACTTTGTTTTTTCTGAAGAGCAAAAGTTAGACTGGGCAGATATGTTTTACATGACCACTCTCCCAACCCATTTGAGAAAACCTCACTTATTCCCAAAGTTCCCTCTCTCACGTAGGTACTTCTCTCTCTTTCTCTCTCTCTCTAATAAGTCGCACAAAATTCTAAGTTACAAAACAAAAGAGAGTTACAAGAGATTACGAAACCAAAAGAAAAATACAACATGAAAGAATTACACAAGGTATACATACTATTTTGCCAGTTGTATTTTGCTTCTGCACTAACCATTTAAGATCTTTTGGAAATAAAATTTTATAAACAGCTAGCCGCTATATAGTAAGACCCCATTTGTTTTTGTTATGGCTAAGACGTTTGAATCTGAATACACATCTAAATTAAGATGTTGTATTAATATTAAGATAGATATCTGAATCTAAATATATATCTGATTGTATTAGTGCTCAACTATATATATGTACCTTAAGCTTAGATGTAGGTTCTAATTAACTTGTTCCTTGATCTTTACTCTGTTCCTCATTTAATGTTTGTATGATATGACTGGATACTTTAGGGACACCATGAAAGCACACTGCCAAGAAATCAAGAGCCTAACAATAAGTATCCTATATCAATTGGCAAAGGCTTTAAAGATGGATGAAAAGGAAATGAAAGATCTGTTCACAGATGGATTATTATCCTCCTTGCCCCGAGCCAGACAAAACCATTGACTTAAGTCCTCATTCTGATTCTGATGCCCTCACCATCCTTCTCCAGCTTAATGATACTGAAGGTCTCCAAGTTCGAAAAGACGGTATTTGGGTTCCTATAAAACCCCTCTCAAATGCTTTGATGGAGGTAAATAAGGGCTTCCTTGTTATACGTTAAGTCTTACTTGAGATATTCAAACTTCTAAATTTTCTTGAAAGTGTTTAATTAAGGTAAATGTGTAAATTGATTTGGCAGATAGTGAGCAATGGTGTTTATAGGAGCATTGAGCACAGAGCAGTTGTAAACTCAAACAAAGAGAGACTAACTCTTGCAACATTCAATATCTTTAACCTCGACTCTGAGTTAGGTCCTGCACACAGCCTCATTGGACCACATAATCCTACAAAATTCCGAAGTGTTCGTGTGGATAAATTTTTGCAGGAATTTTTTGCACGAAAACTTGATGGAAAATTGTTCATTGATTGCATGAGGTTAGAGACGAAGGATGACGAATCCTAGGTCGCATTTGATATTCTACTTGGTTTATTAGCTTATCAATAGCACATGAACTTTTTAATAAATTACACTTCCAGCTTGTTTTGATGGTTGTTACCCCTTGTATTGTATTGTATTGTATTAAACTATATTATACTTAGGGGCGGAAGCACAAGCCGAATTACGGGTTCTGCTGAATCAAGTAGCTTTTGCTCAAACAATGTATTTGGTGTTTAAAATTCATCAAATATGTAGAGATATTAAATTTAGAACCCATTAACTAACACTTTAAAGTTGTATACTAAATCCAGAACATAAGGTTAAAATCCCAGTTCCGCCTCTGATTATACTGTATTGTATTGTATTGTATATTTCTATATTGTCGAACTAGTATTTTAAAAAATAATGGTTGTTTTAATTGTATTTATTTTTTATTGTACTGTATTTGTAAATCCATTGTTAGGTAATAATGAAAAAATCAATTTTATGTGACAATCGATATAGTATGGTGAAATCGTTATATTATCTCTCTTTCTTGTTACGCCTTTACTTATTATTTTATAAACCTATTGTTTCATTTACTGTTTTTTCTATTTAACTCCACCTTGCATCCTATTAGACATCTCCACCTTATATCCTATTAGACATTTCCACCTTGAATTTATAGTTTTCTTCCTATCCTATTCCTTTTATCATTTTCCGTCTATGTATTTTTTTGCCAAAATATAAAATTGGCCGGTCAGTTAAAACTAATTACATTCGCTAGCCAAAAAGTATATAAAATATATTATATGTATATAATATACTTATATACACATGTGTGAAATGCGAAAGCCCTAATTGTGAAGATAGCACGTGGCTGCGGACAATTCCTCGGAAATATTTGAAAACTATAAATTGTTCTTCTTTTTTCACTTTGGATCACGTATGTGACCTCCATTTCGACCAAAAAAAATATATGAATAAATGGCATTGGAATTAGGATATTGATGAAGAAAAAAAGCATGGAATGAAACTGAAGGTCTCCAAGTCCGAAAAGACTGAATCTGGATGCCCATAATAATAATTAATACCCCTTCCAAATGCGTTGATTGTGAATATTGGCGACATGATGGAGGTAAATCAGAATTTCCTTCTTGAGTAACTGATTTTTCAAAGGATGGTACCGTAATGACAATTACAGTTTTGCGGCGCAAGTTATAATTTTTTGTAAATGTGTTATTTGACTTGGCAGATAGTGAGCAATGGTGTTTATAGGAGCATTGAGCACAGAGCAATTGTAAATTCAAACGAAGTGAGGCGCTATCTGTTGAGACATCCTATAACTCCAACTTGGGACCTGCACACAGCCTTGTTAGACCAAATAAGCCTGCAATTTTCCGAAGAGTTCCTGTGAAAAAATATATTAAGGACTTTTTTGAACGAAAACTTGAAGGAAAATCATAACTTGATTTCAGAAAGGTAGGGACGAGAGAATAAAGAAATTACGAATCCAAGGTAGCATTTGATGCTCTAGTTGGTTATTACCTTACCTATATCGTGTGGGATATTCTTACAAGTTACTCTTGCTATTGTAATTTGGAGTTCCACTGTTTGTGTTGGGAATAAGCCCCGTAAAAAATAATATTTACGGTATTAGTGATAAACGCGAAACACTAAGTTATGGTTAAATCAACAAGAGTAAAAATGCAGCAATAATGACACCAAGATTTTACGTGGAAATCCTTCTAAATAAGGAAAAAAATCGCGGTCAAGAAGAGCAACTGATATCACTATAGCGAGAATTTTACACTGTGTAGTAACGAGTACAAATACTCCTAAGACCACTACACCCTCAAAAGAAAAAAAATACTCTTTTGCTTTTTTCACCTCACTACAATATCTCTCACACTCTATTTTTCTTCACAGACTATTTTCTTATAGTCTATGGAATACATTGCTCTCTCTCTTTTATCTCTTTGTTGGTGTGTCTACAGCTGAAAATATGCATCCCATTTTTAGGGAAAAAATGGGCTCGCTGATGTAAGTAGTGACTCAAGCAAGCACAAAATAGTATATGGAAAGATATTTGGTCGGTTGGCCATATCTCCAAAACTTTGACAATTTACCAAAAAAGGAAGAAGACATCTTCCTTAAAACATGGGGCTGGACCCCACAAATCTCCCCCTCCAGTCCCATTTGCTTGAAGGAGGTAACACCAGAGATTCTAGTTTGAGCGCATGCCGACAAGCTCTTTGCAAAGCTCGAACTTGTCCCTCGGTACTATCTTGGTTAGGATATCCGCAGGATTTTCAGTTGTGTGAATCTTTTTGAACTGTAAAGATTCGTTCTCCACCTGCTCACGAATCCAATGATATAAGACGTTGATGTGTTTTGTTCTCGCATGGTACATGGAGTTTTTGCTCAGGTCTATTGCACTCTGATTGTCGCAATAGACAACATACTCCATCTGTCGCAATCCAAGTTCTTGAAGAAATCTCTTGAGCCATATCATCTCTTTGCCAGCTTCAGTAGTCGCAATATACTCCGCTTCAGTTGTAGATAGTGCGGCACACTTTTGCAACTTCGACTGCCATGATATAGCTCCACCTGAAAAAGTAAACAAATATCCAGTAGTGGATTTTTTGTTATCAAGGTCACCTGCCATATCAGAATCTGTATAACCCTTCAAAATTGGATTTGATCCTCCAAAACATAAGTAATCATGTGAGCTTCCTCTTAGATACCTGAGTATCCACTTTACAGCTTCCCAATGCTCTTTTCCTGGATTTTTGAGAAATCTGCTAACAACACCGACTGCATGAGCAATATCTGGTCGAGTGCATACCATTGCATACATCAAACTTCTGACGGCAGAAGAATAAGGAATCTTAGTCATTCTTTCTTTTTCCTCCGTTGTTGTTGGACACATCTTCTTGCTCAACTTTAGATGACTAGGAAGGGGCGTGCGAACCAATTTAGCACTTTTCATATTGAAGCGCTCCAGTACAAGTTCTATGTACTTCTCCTGTGACAAGTAAAACTTTCTTTCGTTTCTCGAACGAGTAATTTTCATGCCCAAAATCTGCTTAGCATAACCCAAGTCTTTCATTGCAAAAGACTTATTCAACTGTTTCTTCAACTCGTCAATCTTAGAAGCATTCCTGCCTACAATCAACATATCATCCACATATAGCAAGAGGATGATAAAATCATCATCAGAAAATCTTTGTACAAATACACAGTAATCTGAATAAGTCTTCTTGTAGCCTTGCTCCCCCATAACAAACTCAAACTTCTTGTACCATTGTTTGGGAGCTTGCTTCAATCCATATAGACTCTTCTTAAGTTTGCATACAAGATTTTCTTTACCTTTTGCCTTGAAGCCTTCAGGTTGTTCTATATAAATCTCCTCATTTAAGTCACCGTGAAGAAAAGCAGTCTTCACATCCATCTGCTTAATCTCCAAATCAAGACTGGCAGTCAAATCAAGAACTATCCGAATGGAGGATATTTTCACAACAGGAGAAAATATTTCGTCAAAGTCAATACATTTCCTTTGACCAAATCCCTTGACAACAAATCTAGCTTTGTATCTGGGCTTCAAACTATGTTCTTCAGCTTTAACTTTGAACACCTACGTGTTCTTCAAAGCTCTCATGCCCTTAGGTAATTTCACCAACTCATAAGTATGGTTCTCATGCAGAGATTTAATCTCATCTTGCATGGCTTCAATCGATTGATCCTTGTGCTCATATTCTATGGCCTTCGCATAACATTCAGGTTCTCCTCCATCAGTGAGTAATACATACTCATTGGGTGAATAACGGGAGGAAGGAGTACGAGGTCTAGAAGACCTCCTGAGTGGAATATCTAACTCGTCCACAGCTTCGTGAGTAGGAGCATTTACCTCATCAGCATTAGCATTGTTATCACCATCACCATCAATATGCTGATCTGGAATATGGTTCTGGGCATCACCATCATCATTGGGCCAACCAATATCATCCGCATTTGTATGAGGAACTTGATCAAGATTAACTAAACCTTCAGAACTTGGATATTTTATCTTCTTCGCTTTGTTAATATCTTCAATGGTTTGATCCTCCATGAAGATAACATCACGGCTTCTTACGACCTTCCTCTCAATTGGATCATATAGCTTGTAACCAAACTCATCAAGGCCATAACCAATGAAGATGCATTGCCTTGTCTTAGCATTTAATTTTGACCTCTCATCTTTGGGCACATGTGCAAAAGCTTTGCAACCAAACACTTTCAAGTGGTCATAGGAAACATCCTTGCCATACCAAACTCTGTTTGGAACATCACTTTGCAAAGCAACTGCAGGGGATAGATTAATAACATGTGCGGTGGTCAACAAAGCCTCACCACAAAAGGAATTCGGCAACTTTGCTTCAGAAAGCAAACATCTTACTCTTTCCATCAAGGTCCTGTTCATCCTTTCTGCTAGACCATTAAGCCAAGGAATCTTAGGAGGAGTCTTCTGGTGTCTGATACCCGTTGCTTGCAGTATTTGTCAAATGGTCCACAATATTCACCACCGTTATCAGTACGAATACACTTCAGCTTCTTTCCAGTTTCTCTTTCAACTGAAGCCTGAAACTGCTTAAAGACACCCAACACTTGGTCTTTAGTCTTCAAGATGTAGACCCAAAGTTTCCTTGAGCAATCATCAATAAAGGTAGCAAAATAAAGTGCATCCCCCAAAGTCCTTGTTTTCATTGGACCACATAAATCTGAATGCACCAACTCAAGCAACTCTGTCTTTCTTGAAGGAGGATGAGACTGGAAAGAAACTCTTTTTTGTTTTCCAGCCAAGCAGTGCTCACATTTTTCTAATTTTGCACTTTCAAAATTTGACAACAATTTCTTCTTGGCCAGAACATTTAGTCCTTTCTCGCTAATGTGGCTAAGCCTCTTATGCCATAACGTTGAAGAGTTATTGCTCTCAACGGCATTCACCATATCAACACAGGTAGAGGTCATAGTCCAGTATAGACCACGACGTTTTTCTCCACGAGCCACAATCATGGAACCCTTAGTGAGCTTCCACTTTCCAGCACCATTGGTACTGACATATACCTCATCATCCAAAACACCAACAGAGATCAAGTGCAAACGAACATCATGTGCATGTTTTACATTGTTTAAAACTAGTTTAGTTCCAATACTAGTTTCCAAACAAATCGTTCCAACACCAGCCACCCTAGATACAGTCTCATTACCCATACTCAGAGTTCCAAAGTCACCCTGAGTATATGATGAGAAAAATTCCTTCCTTGATGTCACATGAGATGCGGCACCACTGTCCACAACCCAGCTTGACTCATCACAAGCAATATTTATCAGATCCGCATCAAGGACTGTAACAAGATCTTCTGTAGTGACGGTGGCCACACGATTGCCATCTTCTTTCTGTTCTTCATTGTCTCTATTCTCCTTTTTCAAAATCCAGCAGAACTTCTTTGTGTGCCCTTTATTTCCGCAATTAACACTCAATATCTTTAAGTTTGTTTCTGGATTTGCTTCTATTATGTTCTCTATTTTAAGAACCCCGATTCTTTCTTCTCCCCCTAGAGTCAGTCACCAAGACATTTGATGAGGAGGAACCTTGAGATTTTCTTCTCATCTCTTCATTTAAAAAGCTACTCTTGACAAGATCCATAGAGATCACATCATTCAGAGCAAAATTTGATAATGGAGTCTAAGAATTTCCCAAGAATCTGGTAGGGAACCAAGTAGAAACATGCCTTGAATTTCTTCATCAAATTTAATGCCCATAGCAGATAACTGGTTCATAATCCCCTGAAAATTATTCAGATGATCTGTCATCGCGGAACCATCATGGTATTTTAAACCTAACATCTTCTTTATCAGAAACATCTTATTGTTTCCAGTTTTTCGAGCATACAAACTTTCAAGGTGCTCCCATAGGGTCCGAGCATGTGTTTTCCTAGAAATATGGTTCAAAACATTATCGTCAACTCATTGTCTAATAAAGCCGCAAACCTACCTGTGTAACAAATTCCACTATTCATCTGATTTATTATCAGGCTTTATAGTGGTGAAGACAGGTTGATGAAAATTCTTGACATAGAGCAAATCTTCCATTTTGCCCTTCCAAATGGCACAATTTGTGCCATTCAAAGAAACAATTCTACTAGTGTTAGCTTCCATCATTTATCACAAATACAAATACTATTTATTATGAGGCCAAAGTAATTCTTTTCTTATGTGGAAGTTCAGATTGTGCTGCAACCACAGAGCATATTTAGACAGAACCTTAGCTCTGATACCACTTATTGGTAATAAGCCCCGTAAAAAATAATATTCACGGTATTAGTGATAAACGCGAAACACTAAGTTATGGTTAAATCAACAAGAGTAAAAATGCAGCAATAATGACACCAAGATTTTATGTGGAAACCCTTCTGAATAAGGGAAAAAACCACGGCTAAGAAGAGCAATTGATGTCACTATAGCGAGAATTTTACATTGTGTAGTAACGAGTACAAATACTCCTAAGACCACTACACCCTCAAAAGAAAAAATACTCTTTTACTTTTTTCACCTCACTACAACATCTCTCACACTCTATTTTTCTTCACAGACTATTTTCTTATAGTCTATGGAATACTTGCTCTCTCTCTCTCTCTATCTATCTTTTCTCTCTTTGTTGGTGTGTCTACAACTGAAAATATGCATCCCTATTGTCACACCTCCTTTTTCTTACACCCCTAAAAGGATATAAGAGAGTTTTTTCTAACTTAAAGTGACAATCGAAACGGAATTATTTATTTATTAAATTCAGAGTCGCCACTTGGGTTAATTTTATGGTGTCCCAAGTCACCGGTTCAAATCCCGAATCGAGAAAAAGATCGACTCTGTATTACAGTCCGCGAACACAGAAATCCGGGTAAGGAATTCTGTTAACCCGGGAGAAGGTATTAGGCATTCCCGAGTTCCGTGGTTCTAACACGGTCGCTCAACTGTTACAATCGACTTATTATCTGATTTTAATACATGTTTTAGCCTATGGTTCAATTTCAACTTTATAACCGCTTTTATTTAATATTTTTAGGAAGATTCAACGTCGCATAAAACGCGTTTCAAACCACGTCACATAAATGCACCCGCAGTTTCGCAACACATTTTATCTAACATTGTTGGGATTTGGATTTGGGTCATATAAATGCGCACCCGAGTTTAGAAAATTAGTTTTTTAAAATAAAGTGCCTAAAGCAACTACGCACTTCAACTTTGCGAGGGCCATGGGAAATGAATAATATTATGGAGGAAATAAGGTTAATAATTCATGGAAAGGCTGGCTAGCTTGTAGCAATATCGATATTTGGACTAGCTTATTATTTGGCCCAGATCTAATTTTTTATGTCACCCCCCACGATCAAACACATGAAGGAAAACTCATTTCCAACTATTTCTAAAGACCAACAAACCCAATTCTTCCCAATTTAACTGAATGAACCCCCTAGCCCCTTCTTCTTTTGCTTCTTCACTAGATATGAGCAGCCCGTACCCAACGACAACCAAATTAATAAATTTCATAACTATAAAGAATTATTAAAAAAATAATGGGATGGGTTAAAACAATGTAGTTCACAATTTTACTCCACAATAACCAATCTAATCCGTTCTGTTTGCAAATATTTTTTTTATCCTCTTAGCAGATAAATTCAGAGGGATTACATAATGCTCATGGGTACTTTGAACTAATTCAATACATATACTTCACTTGCGAAATTAGTGGACGACTTCACATATTTATGTCCATAATAATTAAAATAAAGAAATACGAAAACATAGAAAGAAAAAAAGGTCCAACAATACATTGAGAAGTTAAATGTCATGAATTCTAGTTGGAGCTTCAAACCGTGGCAAGCTGCACCAAATTTTCGTTCTTGTAAACCCAGACTAGAAAANCTTTTTACCTTTATATATTAAGTTTTGAACTCACTTAACACAATCCAAAAGTGTAGTTAAGTGGTCAAGGGGGTTCAAAATTTTTATAAGGTCATAGGTTCAATTTCCACTAACTACAAAAAAAAAAAAAATTGAACCCCCTCCCTGGAGATCCTGCCTCCGCCACTGTATATATATAATAAAAGTGTGAGAAGAACACCAATATTCAAGTCCCAAATAAATAAGAAACTTATGCCAGATATCCTATTACTCGATATCATATCCCATAGAAGAACATATTTCAGGTACATGTAAAAATACAAGTAGCAACAATCAATTATATGCAGAGTATGTGCCTTCAGTTTTCATGTCTTCCTAACATCCTCTTTAATGAAGTAATTGCATATAATTTATGACCCATTCTGGTCAATTGTCTTATATATAGTGTAGGATATAAGCTTCTATATTATAAATGCATAGCAAAAGTTCTCATAAGTTAGCCTCTTGTGGCCTATTCCTTTAGTACAATGTCTCAAATTTTACAATCTTTCATGTAATATTTTCTACATCACTGTAAACATGATATTGATGTGTAACATCTCATTGTTTATTTCTTGCTAGACAATGGTAGTACTACTTACTACGGCAACATCATGTGTTACATCATCATCACAAGAGGGTTGGGGTTGAAGTGACCTAACTATCCAGTAGAATTGATTGGAGTAGTCACAACCATTTTACGTGCTAGTTATTGTTGTCCCTCCAGCTCTATCAATTGTGAATTAAATATTAAATTGCTTTGGTCTAGCCACTAATTTCATCTTAAAAAATTAAGAAAATTTCAAAACTTTAATAAAGGGAGCTTTTGCCACCAAATCAATTAGAGAGTATATTGTGCAACAACATATAGTAATTTAATATATAGCATTGACAGATGATTAAAGTAAAGAATTCTAGATTACCCAATCCCTTAAAGGGGTACATCTAATTAGGTTAACATTTATGCATCAGTCCATTAGCAGATGCATAAGCAGCTTTTTAACACTTTATATTGATAAACTTTTTTCCTGAATTTATAATATCAAAATGCAGGATAGGTATTTTAGTGCGCAACTACAATATAAGAAATAAAGATGAGTAATAAGCACAAAATTCATGCAATATATAAACTTGTTTCAAGTTACTATTGATATCTATGTGCAACGTTCAATTTCATGAATATCCGTTTTTTTTTAAAACAATTATGACATTTAAGCAAAAGCCAAAATAACAAAATTTTGATATGAAAAGATGATGTTATTAGATAGAATGTTAACATTATTCTTTGCTAGCTTAAAGCCATCAGACGTGAATGTTCTCCTACACAAATACAAATTATCCTTTGACATGTAAAAAGTGTTGAAAGCAAATTTTCTACTCAATAGTAAGGAGGAACTGCATAATAAATATGTTGAAGGTTGATACATGAGAACTTCCTAACTGTTTGTTCCTTTAGTTCAAATTGAACCAGGAATTAGGATATTCTAATGACTCATACTATTTCGGCTAATTATGCTCATCTATGCGGAGTGTTATTGCAACTATGCAATAATTGCATTGTCACAGACGATGTCTTTTAATTCAGCTTTATTTGTTCATAGTTGCATTAAAAGGACTTTTTGACAATTGGCATCAGTCTATATAATTCTCGCTGCCTAAACCTTTTGTTAGCATGAATTTTTTCAATTATTTGATCATTTTTATGATTCCCAGAGAGAAATAGTAATAAAAAAAAGGAATGGAAGAAACTAATAGATGGTGGAAACATAGAATTATTCTTCCTTCGTATTATCATCAATTTGTCTGATGAAAAAGCAAACTGAAAGTATGAGTGCAAGTCCGTTTAATGAAAGAAGAAATAAGTGAGAAAGGTAGGAGTGGCTGAATTTATCTGCTACTGAAACAACAACACCAACAACAATTAAAGAAACGCTTTGATTATTGAATTTGATGCAGGATCAACATGTTACTCTATGGGATCATTTCCAAAAAATAGTATAATTTTCATTAATAGGTGTTTTGAAATGCATTTTGATCTACTTGAGTTTCTTCCTGAATAAGAGAACTTTTTAGGTAGAAACGAAAAGTTAAAAGATTGAATAAACCATGACACAAAAAATAGAAAGGGAAACCATATCAAAGCAATAAAAGGCCTTTTCAGGCTAAACTAACATTTTAATTTTTCCTTTTCTCTAGAGACAGAATAATGGCACCATAGTAGAACAACCAAGAAAATATTATACAAAGCAACAACATTCAATTCGGTATTTGAGAGGAACAAAAGGGGCAAACTTTAGGATGAGAATGAGCAAAATCTGTATAAACAGATATGCATCTGGGAATCCGAAAAATTGAATTTGCAAAAAATTCTCAAAAATAAAAATGATTGAAATTAGCGGGGATCCAAAATATTCAAAGCCTCGGTATATGTATATATTGTCCACATAACTCAAAATAATAAAGAATATCAATATATTAGTTAAAAATTTGCCTAAATCAAATAAAAAATGGTGTGTAGTTCGGGAAGGGTGAATTGAATCTGTTAGGGCTTTTTCTTGGACGAACCTGAAGCCTCGAATAGGAAACTATTCAGAGATCTGAAAAAATCAAAGAAAAAAAGTAGACAGAGAGAACATTGGGAGAGAATCATACCTGAAATTATAGGAGATTGATGAGAAAATGAAGAGGTAAATATTTTGAAGAACTGAAAATTGAAAAGTACTCCTCCGTGAATAGAAATGATTCTAGACCAATGTGGAATGGAAAATACTGCAGTGAGCAATTTACATTAAAGCACTTTTATGATAGAGTAAAATGTCAATTTACATTAAAGCACTTTTATGATAGAGTAAAATGTCAATTTACATTAAAGCACTTTTATGATAGAGTAAAATGTCAATTTACATTAAAGCACTTTTATGATAGAGTAAAATGTCAATTTTACCCCTGGTCGACCAACTTCTCATTTCTATATAATAGAAATATTACAGTTTCTATGCCTAAAGGATAATATTCAACTCTGGTCAAATAAATTAAAATAAATTTAACTCATAAAATAAGGAATTACAAAAAAAACAAAGCAATAAAATATCAATTAAGGAATAAAATATTGTACAGAAATATTTACACACGATCCCTGTAAAAAGTTAACCTATTTAACATCCTAATTCCAATGTGGATCTCTTAAATGATTTTAAATTAATAACATAGATGAAAAGTTCATAATTCAAATCACTAATTTTGACAAAAATTGGCCTCAAATTACTACTGCTTAATATTTATTAAAGACGCCCCTCTAATGTATTAACACAATAAACTAAATTGTGCCATTTTTTTTATAAAAGAAAGATAAAAAAAAAAACTGACACAAAATTAATGCAAACAAAATTTAAGCAAACTTAAGTGAGAGGAGACATGTCCAAAGAAAAATATTTTGAAGCAAGAACAAAGTAGAACCTAGATACTAATTGATAAACAGAGAAAGGAAACAACCTTAATATTAGACTTTCACTTTTGATTTTTTAACTGATGATTTGTTCCAAAGATGGAATCACGATAGAGACCTCGACGGAAAGGCATGCACTATCGACCTCGAACTTTCACCAGAACTCGATGTGCCCTCCCCTTTTGTTATGACTAGTGTAGTATTTATATGTGTGAGTTGAATTTTGAGAGATAGGAGATGAACCCAAAAATCAAAGGGGGAAGACTGTTTTTCATTTTGTAGTCAGCTGGGTTTAAAGCTATTTTTAGCTATTTGATGGCTAAACTTCCATTTCCTTTGTTTAATCTCCTTCTGTATATGTGTGTGTCTTCAAATGGAAAAGGAAAGATGGTTTAAGAATCAGAAAAAAGTGGAATTTGGGCATGAAACTGCCGTTTTTCTGAAAAAAGAAAGAGATTTGCGGTTGATTTTTAGGGGTCTAGCTCTAGGTTCAGCGGCGGATTCTAATTTTTGGTCCCCTCCAGCATTAGGCATTACTCCTATTATATAGATTTAGGTCTAAATGTATATTTTTGTTCTAGTTGCTCTTAGGTCCTTAGAGTCTTTTTATTTATTTATTGTTCCAAAAAAAGTCTAGAAGGGTCCCTAGGATTAGCTTAATGGGTATTGGGTATTGGGTTTAAGGAATGAGCTAGAAACTTGGGCCTTTATGACTAGTTATGCTTAAAATTAGTTTAATTAACTAAAAATATTATTAAAAATATTAGTTAGCCCTACTTAAGTAAAAAATAATTATTAAAATAAGACTGACCGTTAAAAAAAACTATTTTTTGGTATTTTTTCAAGGTTAAAAAAATGATTATAAAATATTAACGAACCTATTTTTTGTAATTTTTGTTTTCTTGTAATAAAATAAAAGTAAAAGAGTAAAAATGAGTTGAAATAACTATATTAGGCCTAAATTAAATATTTACATACTAAAATATGTAAAATTTTGGGGAGGGTCAAAAATCACATATCTACACCTATTTGTACGGAAAAAATGGGCTCGCTAATGTAAGCAGTGACTCAAGCAAGCACAAAATAGTCTGTGGAAAGATATTTGGTCGGTTGGCCATATCTCCAAAACTTGGACAATTTACCAAAAAAGGAAGAAGACATCTTCCTTAAAACATGGGGCTGGACCCCACAGTTTGATGATTGTAATAAAGAAGAAAAATATATATTTGACGGTGTTTAACTTGATGAGGGTTTAAAATGTCAATTTAACTGTTGTATTATATTGGCGTGATGGAAGAAAACATTAAAACAATAGTCGAGAGAAGTTAGTTTGATTGAAAAAGATTGCAGTAATGTTAATTATTGAATAGTATATAAATCTGCATACTTGTAAACTTGTTGTATAAAAAATTACTAGGGGTATAATGTCAAACATTTTGAGATGTCCCAAAATGAAACAGTGTCATGTAAATAGATAGACTGCTTAGACTTGGAATAATCTTCTTTTCTTACTTTTAGAGTACTTTAGTTAAGTGACTGACTCTATGTATGAGGAAATTGAATTTCATGTTGTAAACATGATCACGCCCAATTATACCCTATAAAAAGGATTAAGCGATCGTTGTAAATATAATTTGGTTTACAAGTTCGGAGTTGAATCACACAGAGAACTAAGGCTTAACTACAGTTGTTCAATATCGCTAAGAAATACAAGTCCAAATAATTTCCTAATTATAAAGATTATAATATTTATTTTTATCTAACTAACTAAAAAATACTAGAAAGTAGTAAAACTATCAATTAACAAGGATAATGATTGGAGACAGGATTAAGGTGGTCTATAGTTATGATTTCCACTATTGTCGGAATCCTTTCCGCCACGTTTTCTATAAATTTGCCTAAATTTTCTCTATCGATCATGAGCACTCTGACTGTCGTAACTCTCTCCCGAGTAATTACAATAATATACTGAACATATTCTCCTGAATTACGCTAGCTAGCCTTAAGTAGAGCTCACTTAGATCGCACCAAGGTTTCGTTATCCCTAATCTCACCTTTAAACCCTTCGTATTGATCCCTCATATACGTTAGGAGTGATGTTGTTCAACAACTACCTAAATATGCACTCTCTCCCAAGTAATACATATATACTAAATAGGAACAGTTAATTGAGGGCCCTTCAACCAACAGCAATAAGCATATAGTTGAACAAATAGAGAGAATACTATAGCAAATCTATATTAACATAACAAGAAATTCATCATCCAATAGGTTCCATCAAAACCCTAGATAACAAACTAGCTATTCATAATAGTATGCAAAACTACAATACTAGAATCCATAACCAATAATGAAAATAGGAAGAAGGAAGTAAAAAACTCGTAGAAGAATTCTCCGCCTTACTCCTAGTGTGTTCTTGCCTCCAGGTCGAATCCCCGGTCTCCTTAGCCTCCTTAGGTCTAAATTGTGTCAAAAGTATTGTTGGTAATCTGTGTTCGAAACCAGAAAATAAGAGAAGAAAAAAATGTTAGTTTAATAAACAAAACATAAAATAATTTCCGAACCCGCAAGTTGCTTATGTGTCCTTAACGAACTTAATCCCCTCACTGTTGCCCAAGGTTATGGATTACTTCCTCCCAGGATAGAACGAAAAAACTATTCTGTAATACTGCAATCAAAATTACAGAACTTTAGCGAACTCAACAAACGAAGCACATCACACTTGACACTTTGTTTATTTGGAAAAAAAATGCAACAATGAACAAAAGATGAGAAATTTTTCAGATTTTCTTATCTGAAAAATGAGGCAAAGCCTCTAAATTTATAGAAAAAATGAAAGGGTGATATGAAGAGGTGCAATCCAAGAGGTGTCTCTTCTATTCTCCATTCATACCCCTTAATAATAACGCAACAAGTATGTCCCCCTTCTCAAAATAGCGTTTTTACATGTATTTATACCAAATAGGGTCGGGCCCAGACGAAATACCTTTTCCTGCACGAAATAGGACTCTGGCTCTGTAAAATTTGCACAGGCGTGCCGCATGGGGCGACGCGCTACGCGGTGTGATTGTGGGGAAGTTCAGAGAGCTGATTCTGACAGGCTGCAGAAAATTTCCACATGCGCCGCAGTAGTGAGAATTCGGAAAAATGCAAAACATGAAAGTTGTAGCCCTTTCAAATAGCTTTCCAACGATATATTGTGGAGGCCAAAAGGAGTTCTAAGCGAAAAATTATGTGTATTTTACTAGACAATGCACCGTATGCTCGCTCGATTCTCCATTTCGTTCTTAACTATCATCTGTTAATCCCCGAACACAATCTCAGCTTAATTCCTTGGGCTTTTACTCAGACTTTAAAGCTCCAAATCACTTGAATTCATTCCATAATATCTACATAGCTCGGAATCACTCCTACAAGGCATAAAATACACAATTTATTGCAAAACACTAGCGATTGAAGCTCAAACTCAATTAAAGTGTAGTACATTAGAATGTAATAAGCGACTAACTAAAATACATAATTATAGTGTATCATCGTAACATCTGTATGTTCGACTTTCAATATCTAACTGTTTTAATTTTCAAATGCCCCTAGTTGTGAAGATGGCAACGAGGCAGTGGATAATTCCTCGGAATTTTTTGAAAACTAAAAAAATAAGATAAAAAAAAAACTTAATTTGGATCACGTACATGACCTCAATTTGTCATTATTGTAGAGAATCAAATAGAGTAGCGTGCTGGCTGCAATGTAATACCTAAGACAAAAAAAAAAAAAAAAAAAAAAAAAAAAAAAAAAAAAAAACAAAAGTTAAAAACACTAATAAATAAATGGATTAGGTACTAGCTAGGGAATTGATAAAGAAGCTAACTGGAATCTATAGCTTAAAGAATTTTATAAGTCTGGTTTTGGCAGTTTGTTGACATTGAACATTTATATATTCAAGTTTCCTAGACGACAACTCGACAGAATTGAGCGAGTCATCAATGGGGTGTCAATTATATTAATTCGAAAATTATCGTTGGAAAATCTCTGATTTCATATATTTATATAATCTAGAGAATCCTTGTAGTAAGAGTTAGGAGAAAGCTATAGCTTTTGGTTTTTTGTCAATTGTAAAGATGGCCAAGCAAGCCTTAGTGCTACACATATATAATATAATATTGTTACCATTCTCAAAACAAAACAAAAACCCAAAACAGAAATCGACAGGGTTGAGCGACTCAATAGTATCAAGTAGTGCCGGTAAAAATTAACTTTTGGAATATCTCTGAAGTCAACCCTGTACATAAACTCAGAAAAAGCTATGACTTCTAGTTCTTTGTCAACTATAGAAATGGGCTAAGGCTGTATTGTGGTTCGGGCCCGGGCCTAAACGGGTCGTGCCAAATGGGCCAGGGCTTAGGCGGGCCGGGCTTTGGCGGTCCCGGGCCAAATGGTCCCAATGTGTGGAACCGGCCCACGGTGGTCCTAAGCCCACATGGTCCCGAGCTAAATGGGTCGGGTCTAACGGGGTTTTTTTTGTTCCGGGCTATTTTTTTTAAATTTTGTTTTATCTAAAGAACTTTCTTGTAAACTATATATGTATATACTACTATAAATTGCTTATATATAGCTATATAAATATATATATATATATATATATATATATAGTATGTATATAGTATGTATATATAACGGTGTATTATGTGTATATATAATTATATATTGCCTTATATAATTAAATGTCTATTAAAAATAGCAGACTTATCATCAAATCTTTTGATGACTTAGCAAACCTTCTTGATAAGAAACTTTCTGGTTTAAATATTAGACCAATTGATTTATCAAAAAACTTTGCTGATAAAATTGAGACTGTTTCTGATTATAAAACTGAAACATGGTCAGAGCTTAATAAGCTCAAGGGTAAATCTGTCGTTAAAATGTTCTAGAATCGTAAGGACTGATAAAATTGAGACTGTTTCTGATTATAAAACTGAAACGTGGTCAGAGCTTGTGCTTGAGGA